CATGTCTGTGGGAAACTCATGCAGTAGGCCCATGATGATGTTGACAACACATGCAGAAGCTTTGTAAAGCATTCTCCTAAGCTTTTGCTGTGAAGTTGGAGCCATTTCTACTTCATGGTGGCTTGATGCTCAACCACCATTCTTCCTGAATTTCGTGGGAAGATGATCGATTGACACTGCAGTTCCATTCCCATGGATGGGGGGACATTCCACTAGGCCAGAGGGGGGGTCCCAAGCGGGTATGCATCGCAGGCCTTGTACCCATGGTACATTTGTCCCGGGATTGAGTCGGTCCGTATAGTAAATGAACGCCCGGTGATTCGTGACGGGTTACAACCTGCACCGGTACTCCGCTCTATACGTGCCTATGGGTACCGTACCGAAGTCCACGCTGGGTACCACCACGTAGCGAAGTAGGAACCTAGTAGCTAGTGCCTAGGCTAGGTACCTACCTACTGCCTACTAGGTACCCGGGTAGGTAGGTAGCTAAGGTCCCAGGTACGTACCTACTAGGTAGGTAGTAGGTACTGCTCAAGCCGGGCCGCCGAGGTCCCGGTACCTACCTTTTAACTAATATATTGGGTACCGTAGGTTTACCCAGTACAGGGAACCGGTATCAGACAGTACGGTACTCATGCAGCCTTGGGGCGGTGTCGTTCGGCTGAATTGCCACGAACTGTTTTCGAAAAGTGGGGTGTTTGTCGTACTTCGGTAACCCTACGGGTATTCTTGCTTGAAGATTACAAGGCCGGAAGCTTTTGACACTCGGTTCGAAGCACTTTTCCTACGGAGTGCAAATCCCGGAGCCGGAGCTGAATCGGCCGATATTTGCCCCGATTTTCCGGCGATTTTGCGCGCCACATTAAAATTCGGGGCGCAGTGCCGGCGGTGACACCGTGCACGGCCGAGTTTAATTTCGCGCGATATGTCCACGGTTTCTGCCGGGATTGTGCCGCGATTTCCCGCCGGGCGAAAAACCACCATAGCTGCCCCGTGTGACCGTACGCGCTATATCAGTATCTCAAATATAGTATGCTTATGTGTCAAGTGCGGTTATAGTAGGGTATGCTCATGAATGTACGCAGCTGCCAATTATGACATCCTGTACGTACTAGTATGCCGAACACGTCACGGTCGGATGCACAAGAAGCTAGCATGGAATGTATATGCAGTGTGCAGGAGAGCGTTGAACGTGATCCGTTTTGAACTAACACACGCAGATGCTGCTGCCAGGCGGCAGCACATGCAATAATGATGTGAGACTGAATCACTATGCACTTGTGCTTCATGAATACCGGTGCGCCCAAGTGAAGGCTCTGAGTAGCACTATAGTTGGATCAGTGCCAGGATGAGTCGACCACTTACATGTCATTACAACCGTCGTTTTAAAGCTCGCGCACTGGGGACCTGCAAACAGCAACTCGAAGCTTTCGAACATGATCAATGGATGAGCGCATGCATGTATTTGTAGTGTGCAGCCTCCAGGCTCCAGCTCGCTACCCCGAAACCTATAAGCCTATTGAACTTTGTCGTGCCTGACCGAATCGACTTGCTGCCGAAAGCAGCTCTACAGCCGTTCGTTACATGCAAACCGTACGATCCAATCCTGTGGCGCCTATTTCTATACCGTTGATTGTTCAAAGCCGTTCCAAGAATGATTGGTCCGCGCTGTACGGTGTTGTTGCAGTCTGGTTCAGAGTGTGGCCAGACTAAAAGGCCAATATTAATCCCGTTAAATATACTCCTCCGAAAGAGAGAGCCTCTTATCTGTTGGGTTGCATTACAGACCCGAACAATGGGATCGAGCTTATCCAGTTCTGACCACAGTATGTAAACGGTAGCTCCTCCATTAAGATTGCTTTCCTTGCTGAATGAGAGACTTTTGCAACTCCAAGTAGGCTGTGCTCCAGCCACTGCAGGATGGGCAACGAAGTTAGCTTCGGCAATTGAGTCCAAACGAAGTCCGATTTCAAAAGGAAGTCTGGTACACTTATGATGCTCTCCTTGTAGAAGTAAAACCTTTCTCAAGTGCTGCCTCAGGAATCAACCTTCAACTCTTCTTTCGGGGAATTTGTGCAAACGCTTGCAAACCCCTCAAATGGAAAGGAAGAGGTACGGGGTGTCGCTTACCCGCCCCTTTGTCGAGGACAGCATCCACTCCAAACCGACGTCAGTCCAGGCGCCGCTGAATACACCATGACGACGTTGCAGACTATAGTTCAGGCTGGACTCGAGAACATGGTGCATATCGTCGAACATGCAAGGACTACTTGTAAGTTGTGAATAGGGCTTCGATAGCTGCATTCCCCAGAGACTAGAGTTCCTTGTCCGAATGGACGTACCAGTTATTACAATTGGCGATGAGAAGTTGTCCCGATAGCATGCGAAGTCCAAGAGATAACATGTCTGCTAATGAAGAAAGGAGGTAATTACCTGGCTTTGCGAGTCCTGGTGCTGCTGCCTCTGCTTTCATGGCCGCATTTTGAGACTCTTGCTTCGTCCAAGCAAACTCGTTGGTTTTGGCGCCAGACTTTTCCGACATGACATCAAGAAGGTCTGCACACGCAAGAATAGAGTACGGAATCCGTAAACCTAGTCGCTTCAAACTCACCATCAACAAGAGACCGTTCGTCCTACGAAAATAGCGGGCTGTATCGCACTTCACTTTCAACTCTACTTGAATAGCGCAACGATCCGAGAGTGGCATCAGAAAGTGCACTATGACAGTTGCTTAAGGAAGCAACTGTCTGTCAGTTGTCGTCCTCATATGCGTTGTGCAGAGGAAGAAGCACAAGACAAACCAGCGCATAGGGAACTCTTTCGTACCTTTGCAACACGATAATCGTGCGACTCGGTCAACAGCTGGAGTAAAAGGCAAAGACTTTTCTCATTTCTTGGGCTTGCCTTCTGGAGCGCCCTTCCGTCGTCCGAACGATCTAAACAAGGGAATCACTTATTCAACTATTGGTCTGCAAAGGAAAACAAGCGACGACACAATAACCAAGCACTGCAAGTAGTTTGCGTTCTTTGCCTTGTCTGTGTAGGGGCGGAGATAGAGTCACTCGACGCTCGAAGGGAGGTTCTGTTGGAGTCTTATACATCAGACTAATGTGTCTTGGAACTTATATTTAATTCCAATGTCGTGCTGCGCACCCGCCGAACAATACAGAGGAATCAAACAGACACCATGACTGCATCAGCACGAGTGATATCAGAGATACTCAGGGGTAGATTCAAGTGAGGGACTCTTACTTTTGGTCGACTTGGTCCTTCAACTTCTTGGCCAGGTATGGGCGGTGCCAATCCTTTGAGCTGCCTTGGGCTGAGCCTTGGGGCTTTGTGTTCCCGTCCGTTTTCAACCACTCCTTCCTGTTTTAAGACAGAGCATTTATGGGTTCTGACCTGAATGATTCAGATGGTCCAGTGTGACAAAGACAGATCAGAAATCTAAGCAGTGATGTACTATAAAGGAAGCGTGGAAAAGCCAAGGAATGTCTGCAGACGGATTCGTCCACGCACCTGGCAGCCTTTTTTGCATCAGCTCCACACCCGTGTGCTTCTGGCAGACTGCGCAAAGCCACACCAGAATCAGAGAGCAAGAACGACTTCTACACGAAATTTGGAATTGCCATACAATATATTTTATTGCACATAGATTTTATGACGCGCCCTTCCAATCTGCTGGAAATTTCAGAAATCACAGAAAAGTCGCACACTCCCTGCGCCAGAAAGGGGCACTTAGCAAACCTTGTTCGATTGTTTGACTGTTTCATTGCTTGTTTCTGCCCTATGTCAAGCATGTAGACCTACAATTTTAGTCATGACAAGGTGGTACAAGCACTTAGAAGGCATAGAGCACCTGATGAGGTGAAACGCACATTGGGCAACAGAGAAGGTGGACTGGACCATTCTGCACTGATTTGAAGGCATGGATAAAACTTACCCGTGCGTTAGGCAGAACTGCAACAGATAGAAAAGCTGCTTCAGCAGGAATCGAGTTACTTCAAACCCACAAAGGTCAACCCATGCACAGGTTTTGACACGCCGGTCAAGAATGTTCAATCTGGGCATCATAATATGCTTCAGACACAATGAACCTTTGTGTCCCTTCGATAAAGAGTCTTCATTGGACTTACCTTGAGCTTGCACAATTTGCACACTTGGCCTAGCAGGATTACATTCTTCTTACAGGATTTGTCCGCACACACCGAATTATCACTGCAGATGACACAATGTTCCCTTGTGTTAAGATACCTTCTGCTAAAGGAAAGTCACGAAAGTGACTCAATCTACAGTTTAACGTTGCAATGCAGGAACACCACCTTTGAAGGTGCAGGAAGGATTCTACGTACATCAGCACCGCCAGCAACAGCATGCAAGAGAACCATCCCAGACTGTAGATATCGTTGGACCAATAGATGTCTCATACATTTGAAGTTCTTGCAGCACTACGTCTAGATCATCTCCGTTGCCAGCGCCAGGCAGACCCGTAGACATGGATTGTTCAATGGAATTGCTGCCCCCGTGGCTTTCAGCGCCTGGATTTCTCGAACTTGAAGGCAGGGAAGACAGAGATCAGAGACCAAACAACGAGCTGCAGCCTGCTGGCGTTCTGAAAGCTCAAACCCTGCGCTAGCTTTAGCATGCCGGTTAGGGTAAAAGGGTTAAGCAGATGTGGCACTGGGCAGTGGCAGGCCAATGATTCGGAGACACCGAACGAGCGTGCCACTTGTTGGACCCTGGTAACCTGCAAGATCCATGAGTGCATTCTGAAGCGTTGGATTGCTTCCGAAGCCTATTGCTTCCACATGTCAGCATCTTATCAAGTACCCCGGTTTTTCTCTAAGGCTTGCAAACTCGACGCGTGGCACAGGAATCAGGTCAACCGGTTGTGAGATGACGTCCTGGGCGCAACCTGACCACAATCTCCTCGGTTAGATTGCAGACCTTCAGTGTTTAGACAGGGTTTGGAGGCCAACCTTGGCTTTCGATTCGGAGGGCTCAGCGAGCAGCATTGAATCTGGATCAGTGGATGTGCGCAGGCTTCAGCATTGACGATTTTGCAACAGCTGAGGAGCACGGAGACGAGACAAGCAGCGGCTAGGTTTTCCCGCATTGTTCAGAGTTCAATTGCAGTATCAAGCTTAGCTGCGACGCTTGCAACGACGGGTTGTGTCAGCAGGAACAGCCAAGATGGCAGACAACGATTGGATCAATGGTTATCTGGAAGCAATCCTCGACACAGAGGGTAGCGCGGTGGCAAAGCAAGCTCCGCAGAAGGGCAAGAAGGACAGCAAAAGTGAAGGGAAGGAGGCCGCCACAAAGAAGGACAGCCTCGCGGTGCCATTCTTTGTGAAGCAGATCACTGGCTTTGATGAGACGGATCTGCATAGAACATGGATGAAGGTATGCATGCACCACAATGCAACAAGTCGGCGATCTGCTGTCACTGTTGGCGCCATTCAGATTGAGAGCACCTGGTGTCTGATTGCTATTTGTATCACAACAAGCTTGCGATCTCCTTCAGACAATGCTTTCAATCTGCACATGTCAAGAGGTGTCCAAAAGGATTTCTTATCCCTAGTGGTCGGAGGGCATGACTCTTGGCGGTTCGCTTGGAGGGCATGAATATCTCATGCACTGCAATTTTCTATGCTTGCAGGCGACTGCGATGAAGAATGTACACGAGCGTGGCAGCCGTCTGGAGTACCTGTGTTGGAGAATCTGGCACATGACACGCCTGAAGAAAAAGGTACATACAGATCTAGTTCACAGAGTTGGTTCTGTTTCACAAAGAAGGGCCTAGACTCTGCAAGTAGCGTCAAATCTTGAGGATCTTTGCCCTCTTGTCACTGCGCGAGCTATCCAGAAACCCTCAAAGGAACGCCCAAGCTTCTATCCACTTGACAGATGTACAGGGCATATGCAATGCCATGGTAGAAGACGATGAGACATCACAAAAAGATCAGTCCATCAACTTGAAGGAGTCAGACACAGTATTCTAAAGCAGAGGATAAAGATCAATTGCCTCTGACGCTACAGTGCGCGTGCTGTATGATCTACTGTATCTGGACAGGGCGATGATCGGGTGGATAGACCGGTGGCTTCCTTCATTCTGAGGTGCCCTTTTCTGCAGGTTGAGTGGGAGGAGGCACAGCGCCTTGCTCGTCTGCACATGCAGCGCGAGAGTGACAGGGCTGCAGACGAAGCTGACCTGCGCGAAGATCCAGACACTGAGGAAGACGAGTCCACTGTGGAGTCGGAATCTTACACTGCATCAGAAGGGGAGGCCAAGCAGTTGGAGTCATCAGCAAGTCTCCCTGTGGACCATGAGAAGAAAGAGGGCAACCTCTACATTGTCATGATCAGGTACGGTTTGAAGCAGGTCAGAATGTGGTGCAATGCAGGAACAAAGAAGCTGCGTCACAGGTGTGAATGGAAAACCTGAGCACTTGTCTAGGGGGCAGCTTCAACAGTGCCACTACTGCAACATATCCTGTTTGCAATAAAGCAAGAGCTGATGAGACAAAAGAATGTGCACTTGATATTGCTGCTTTGAACAAGCATGTCAAACGAGTTCACATTCCTTTGCGCCACTATTCTGACAACCTGTCCTAGCTGGTGTCTCAAAACTTGACCTACTTCCTGGTACTAGGTGTTCGTCATCTTTTCACATTTGAGCCCCAGAAACTGCTTTCCTTTCATCATTGCATCCTCTGTGAACATTACTTAGAAGCTCTCTGAAATCCACATTCTCCTTTAATATCATGCTGTCTCAGATTGATCTCTTGAATCTCTTTTTCCCTGCAGTCTCCATGGCCTTGTCCGTGGTGAGCACATGGAGCTGGGACGCGATGCTGATACCGGCGGCCAGGTCAAGTACGTTGTCGAGTTTGCCAAGGCCCTAGCAGAGCTGCCGCAGGTGTACCGAGTGGACCTCCTGACGCGCCAGATCTGTGATCCCAGTGTGGACTACAGCTATGGGGAGCCGCAGGAGATGCTGACCTCAGGTGCGCCAGATGGGGAGGAAGGCGGGGAGGAGGGTGAGAACTACGGGGAGAGCCGCGGCGCATACATTGTGCGGATACCCTGTGGCCCCAGGGAGAAGTACATCAGAAAGGAGGAGGTAAGACCACTGCTAGCAGACCCCCTTATCAGACCTTATTCTGTTGGAAGTGCATTTCTACATTATGTTGGTTGCCACTAGATTTATTAATGGAAAAACAATTTTCGTCCCATCTTCGCAACTCTGACAATGTGGTTCTCTGTCTGTCTTGAATTGTATTGACTCTGTCTGCAAGACTGGTTGAAGTACTTGTTCAACTGAAAGTCATCTCACTCGATGAGCTTCTCACTAAGTGGCTCTTTGGCTTGCAGCTGTGGCCATTCGTCCAGGAGTTCGTGGACGGGGCCATTGGTCACGTGACCAACATGGTGCGAGTCCTAGGCGAGCAGATTGGGCAGGGAGAGCCTGTATGGCCGCACGTGATCCATGGCCACTATGCTGACGCTGGAGACATTGCCGCGCTGCTCTCGGGGGCGCTCAATGTACCCATGGTTCTGACGGGCCACTCGCTTGGCAGGAACAAGCTGGAGCAGCTACTGAAGCAGGTATGGACCGCATACTCACTTTCAAGAATGTCAGTGAGAGGAGCGGCTGTGATACTGCAGGAAGGAGATTTTGAAGGCAGGCAAACTGTCAGTATGGAAGAGAATCCACTGAGACGAGACTTTTCAAATTGCAAGAAGTCAGATCACAGTCGTTGATAAGACGCACATTGGGAGAAACTATTTAACTCGAGGATACCTCGTTTTGAATACAAGGTGACTGTTAAAACGAAGCTTCCATGACTGACTTTCATAACGGCACTGCTTAGAGCAGTCCAGTGGCTGAGACTCCTCTTAAGCTTGAACCACCACTACACCAAGTAGTTCGAAGCTGATATGCTTGGACACCCTTGTGCCTGCAGGGCCGCCAGAGCCTCGCCTCGATTGACACCACGTATCGCATCATGCGCCGCATTGAAGCAGAGGAGTTTGCGCTGGACGCGGCCGAGCTCGTGGTTACGAGCACGCAGCAGGAGATCATTGAGCAGTGGGGCCTGTACGACGGCTACGATGCCAAGCTGGAGCGAGTGCTCAGAATGCGCGCCAGGAAGAACCTGCCCACACACGGCCGCTTCATGCCACGCATGGCGGTAAGTCTTGGGAATTGCCTTTGCAGCACGATTTTCAGTCTGCAAGTTGGCCGACATTACAGAGACCCAAGACATGGGAAGAACTGACGGTGTAGCAGACAACCACCTGCGGTTTGGTTAATTTCGTCCTCATTCCACTATACTATCCAGCAAACACAAGCTATAGAAATTCCAGCGCACAGAGTATCGAGAGTAATGGCCAGTCCGAGGTCATGACCTGCAAAGCCACCTGTGGCCACCTTTAAACGCAGGTCATCCCTCCCGGTATGGATTTCAGCCACGTGGTGGTTCAGACCGCGAGCAAGGGTTCCAGCGCTGACCTGGCGGCTCAGGCAGACGAGGAGTCCCCCATGTCGCCCAAGCCGGACCCGCCCATCTGGTCCGAGGTCAACCGCTTCTTCTCCAACCCGCACAAGCCCATGATCCTTGCGCTTGCCCGTGCCGATCCCAAGAAGAACCTGACCACGCTGGTGGAGGCCTTTGGCGAGAACAAGCACCTGCGAGACACCGCAAATCTGGTGAGTGCTTTGCGAAAATCAGTTGCCAGAGTTCTTGGGTCTGATGGATGGTTGCACTTCCTCTTTCCGTCAAATTCATTGCAAGTTAGTCACAGAGTTTCCTAGAAAAGCTTTTCGATGAGACACAGCAAGGCACTCCTCGATAAGCGAATGTTACCTTACTGAAACGAGAGGGTATCAATCGGCGGGACGAAAAATGTTGGCTCTAAGTGACCAGATTGTTACCGTCAATTGCAAGCCACCCGCTCATCCTTCTTTATCTTGTGCAGACCCTCATCATGGGCAACCGTGACGTCATCGACGAGCTCAGCGAGAGCGCGAGCAACGTGCTGACCCAGGTCCTGAAGCTGATTGACAAGTACGACCTGTACGGCCTCGTGTCCTACCCGAAGCACCACAAGCAGCCGGAGGTGCCCGAGATCTACCGCCTGGCCGCCAGGACCAAGGTAAGGCAGTGGATACAGGAATTTTCATCTGATTGTCACTCGAGTCAGCCTGTCAGCGAGGGCGCCAACCTCTCCGATATACCTCTGCGATAATCGTTGCTGCTGCGAAAGACGTCTTGAGCATATGTGCAGGCGGTTGCCTCGCAATACGTTTCAGAGGGCGGTGGTGATCCACGATATCCGGATTTACAACGAATCGGTTCCAAGAATAAAGCTAATGAGCAACTCGTGGTTCCTCGCATGACGCTGATTTAAGGGTTTTAGCTTTAATCGTTTGTGCAGGGCGTGTTCGTGAACCCTGCCCTGGTGGAGCCCTTCGGCCTGACCCTGATTGAGGCTGCGGCATACGGCCTGCCAATGGTCGCCACCAAGAACGGCGGCCCGGTGGACATCCAGAGGGTGAGCCGCCTTTTATTGCTCTGCTTTGAAAAATCTGTTCGCATCAGAAGAGAAAAGACCTTAGCAGGGCTGACATAGGACGCTCGCCAGCTTTCTGCAACTCTTGGATTTAGAAACTTTGAAATGCTCCGCAGCAATTGAGCACGCAGTCAGCGGACTGACCGTAATGTTTTACGAAGCAATCTCGAAGCTGTGACAAGCGGACGCTTTTCAATGCGATGGGGCCTCAGCGGAGACCTTTGAAGTCACAAGTGCGACTCGCGTGTTTACGGTCCGCTGTCTGCTTGATCCGGTCTGCTTACGCTTTCTTTCTCTCTCGCTCCCCAGACGCTGAACAACGGGCTGCTGATAGACCCGCACGACCAGGAGGGCATCGCGGACTCGCTGCTGAAGCTGGTGATGGACCGCAAGATGTGGTCCGACTGCCGCAAGAACGGCCTGCAAAACATCCACAAGTACAGCTGGCCCAACCACTGCCGCCAGTATCTCCAGAAGGTGAGGCGTAGATTGAATTACAGCCTTGATTGCGGGCGTTGTTGCGAGGCGATTGGAACGGCGTTTCTTCTGTTCGTGATTTCTCCTGTTCCGGAGCACTCTGCCCGAAACGCTCAGACGACGCACCAATATGTGGATGGCTCAAGAAAGGTTGAAGTTTAGGCTTCAGACAAAGGCGTCGGCTTGTATCGCCTCAATTTTGACTTTCCTTGTGTACACGGTCGTTCGCGCAACATTCTCCTCTCAATTTTAGCAATTTTAGCAATTTTAGCTTGCCGCTCCTCAGACTGCTCTACGATCACGCGTGTAAGGACATTTGAAGGAGCAGTCGGTTGTCGCGGACTGAGTTCAGTCGAAGTTTTGAAGGAAGTCACGAACTTTTGAAGGGAGTCTCGGAGCGTACAAGGCAGTCAAACGTCGAACAAGATAGCAGGTTTGAGTCGACTGCACATCCTAGTCTGCGGTCAAAGCATGCACCAAACCCAAGGTAATGAGCAAGCCTCTGTTCACACTCCGGTGCGGAAAGCTCTGCATAAACCTTCCTCCTTGATCTGGCAACTTGGATGTAACGGCGACATCTTCCTATCCAGGTGGCCCACTGCCGGCAGCGGCACCCCAAGTGGAAGGCCCCCGGGCTGGAGTCCGACCCGTCGTACCGCACCGACTCGCTGGGCCCCGAGATGAGCATGCGCGACATGAAGCTGTCGCTGGACGAGGACAACATCACGCGCACGCAGAGCGGCAACTGGCGCATCAAGTCCCCTGGGGAGATCGAGAAGCTCATGCGCCAGGGCAGCGGCACCCCCGGCGACCGCCCGGGGAAGAAGTACCCGAGCACCAACAACACGGGCCTGCAGGGTCTCCCAGAGGACGGGGACGCCGCCCCGGGCCCCCAGGCGCGGTCCACCGAGGAGCTGGGCATGCGGATGCGTGGGCGGAAGCACCTGGTGGTGGTCGCCGTCGACGACTACGACCCCTCGGGGAAGGCAACCGGGACCCTGGCCAAGGTCTTGTCGGCCGGGTTGAAGGCGGCCAAGACGGACAAGACCGGGTTCGCGATTGCGACAGCGCTCACGGGGCCGGAACTCGTGGCGCTGCTGGAAGGGGCCGCGATCGGGCTCAAGGACCTGGACGTGGTGATCGCGGGCAGCGGGAGCGAGCTGTATTACCCGGGCCCGCTCGGGGACGGCGAGAAGGGCGACCAGCTGACGGACTCGGCCGGGACGAAGCTGTACCCCGACCTGGACTACAATGCCCACGTGGAGTACCGCTGGGGCGGCGACGGGCTGCGTAAGGCGATGGTGAACATCGTGGCGGCCGGGAGCGAGAAGGGTGCGGACGCGCGCAAGGCGGGCGGGCCGAAGCCGGTGCTGAGCTTGACGGAGGACCGCGAGCACATGGGGCACCACCGACTGGCGTACAAGGTGGTCGACCTGGCACAGGTGAGGCCGCGGGGGAAGTGCGCTTCCGCCATAGGCAATGGGGAAAAGTATCACAAAAACCGGAAGCCCGTGAAGGTGCACTGGACTGGGCCTCTCGAGTCTTGAACTGCATTGAGGTCTTGCATTCACACTCTCTTCATTTTGGACACGGTTTGCTGGGTACTTATGCTGAACGTCAATGTCCAATTCCATTTCGACACTCAATAGCCGGCTAAACTTACGTTAGCCGCCTCTGGCAGCACACGTTCACTGTCTCAATATGCAGTCTTTCCTCACAGCAGTATCCTGTTTGCAGGCACCGTCCGGCTCCGAGCTGCGCCGCCGCCTGCGGACGCGCGGCCTGCGCTGCCATGTCATCTACTGCCGCGGCAACTCCACCCTTCACCTGCTTCCCGTGCACGCCAGCAGGAGCCAGGCGCTGCGGTATCTTGCGGTGCGGTGGGGGATCGAGGTCTCGAACGTGATCGTCGTTGCGGGGTACGCGGGCGATGCGGACCACATCGAGCTGTTGGGCGGATCGGTGTGCGTGGTTCTGGTGGGCGGTGTCGCGCGTCCGGAGAACGCGACGAAGGGCAGTGCCCAAGGGAGCACCGAAGAAGACCCTGCCAAGCTGCCGAACGTGGTTGCGGTCGACGAAAAGAAGGGAGTGGACGGTATCGTCGACGGTCTGAAGGAGCTGAAGCTGGTATGACGAGGCTGATCGGGGCTGCACAGTAGAGCTGTTGAGGCTGTGTCTACACTCAAGAAACTCTGTCCAGTGAGGCGTTTTGCCCAAGTTGACTTTGGTCTGGTAGCACTTCCATCCCTTCGAGTCAGCGCCGCAGGCGCTCGTATATTAAGATAGGAGAGGACGTTGTGTTCGGGGCTAGCTTTCAATAATCTTGAATCACAGGGCCCGCATCCGCTGGTATGAAGTTCAGGGCTGTCGCCAATTTTGGCTGTAACATTAGGCACAGGTTAATCGAGAAGCGTTTTGTCGTACGTCTATAACCAACGAAAGTTTGTTCAATCTTAGAACAGAAGGCTGCGCAGATGAACTTGCACGCTCATGCAAAGGTTAACGACACTTTCCGATAGGTTGCATGCGGCCTTCCTTCCGATCCGCTTGATTGCAATCATAATCATGCAACATTGTCACAACAATCTGGTACGATCTTGCAAGCGCAGAAAAGCAGTTTCATGGTTGATTGCGATCTTTAATCTACGATTGCAGGTGGGCGTTACGGTTTTAATATGAAGGTAAGTGACCGTCGAGCAATGGGAATCCTCGGTACTTGAGTTACCGTCTCAACAATATTCTCATGCTACTAGATATCCGTGCTATATCAGCACCGTGCCATATATGATTGGTATAGTTACAATAATGGACACTCACATGCCAGCTGCACGTGTCGGACAGACTCACCAACCGCTTCATGACGGTTGTGCGTGTGGATTGGACGTCTGGGGCCCTGGTGCAGTCTGCCTAGGCTGGCGAGCGGCCGGGCACTAGTACATTGAGCCACGCGCTTCAGTAGACAAATGTAATTTATCATGTGCTGTACATACGTGATCATACTAATGAAGTGGATGCACACGAACAGTAACAGCCTTGATCCGTATTAAAGTTACCATCCGAGCCTAGCTTGCCGCCGGCCATACCAATTCAATGAACAGGGCGATCGGACCGCGTGGTTTCATGTCCGATAAAACCGTCATTGCTGCGAAGCTCTCACCGTCAGGCTCACACGTGTATTCCTGCATAACAACCAGCGTGACGGGCATTGCTGAATAGCTTCCCGCTCTAGCTCTGTTTAAACAACGCAGGCCATGGTTGTCGCAGATACGAAAAGGCTGAGTCGACGTACGTGTGATGCCATTGCAATCAGTCCTATGCGGTCAAGGAGGCCTGACGCCAGTCTTACTTATTGCAGATTATAAGACGAGTTAACCAGGCAAAACCGCATGCAATGCCGGAGACCTCGGACCAAACCCCACTCTCAAGACTGTGACAGAAAGATGATGAATCATCATTTTCGGTGCAAGCTACTAGATCACAAACGCTGACTAGCATTCATAAAGGCGGCGGTCGTTAGGAGACCCATCAGAACCTGTAGAAAAGAATCGAGTCAGCCGTTATTCTGCCTATTCGGAGATTGGTCTGACGCATCCAGTCGAAGAAAGCGGTGAGAGCCAACGCAGCAACAATCGAAAATATGATGAGGATTCAGTTTCCAGTAGCAATCCACCATCACAAATTCGCAACTGAGACTTGCAGAGCTTTGACAAGAAGCCTGGTCAACGATACTGTACCGCCTACGATGACTTACCTGTAACCCAGCGAAGCCCACCCCAACTCCATTTAGAAATTGTTCTATCCGTAATCTGCAGGGTACCCGTTTAAGGAAGAGGTTGGTAATACACAACCTTGAACCAGAGAGTTGAGGTTTCGAAACAAAAAAAACTGAGCCTGACACGTCACCATCAAGGATTGCCTTTGGCTCAATTGCACGTCCTCAGCCTCCACGTGATCCTCTCAGTGCATGATTCTAGGTGGTTTTAGAGCGTTTCACAAACCGGATTCAGCACTTCAGGCTTCTACTTCGTGTACTCACACGTATGTCTGCCCCAGGATGAAGTAGAAGTGCATGCTCAAGATAGGAGCCGCCAAAGCAAGGGACCACCCCAAAGGCCCTGCCTGTTCTGTTTTGTTCCCTTTGGAACCTGCACACACAGACGGCAGGCAAGAAGGATTTACTTGGCGTGATCAGCTAACTTGTCATGGCTGAAGTGAAGGCGAACAAAAATTTGTTCCCTGCTGCACAATTATGCCTATGTTTTGAAGTTTACCCAGCTTCTTGGAATGGCCGACTAGAGTGAGCTGTGAATCAGACCAAATGCATGTGGGAAAGTTTCTGCGTCACTGATGCTCGCCTGCTCAAGTTACTGCGGAACATTTGCAGGACGACACAAATCAGTTGGGTTTCATAAGAGACTCACCTAGGAAGATGCGAGTTGGTTCAACAATCAAGAACATGAACAGGAAAGCCAGCTCGAGCCCGAAAACATGCTTCGGATAGGGGAGTTTGGAACCTGCACCAAAGCACAAGTGGACACGTAAGTGGCCCCATTTGGTGGTTGTAAGCATACGACGGCATAAGCTGACTGTTTGGCGAACACATCCTCACTGCACCTACAGGGTCTGCTAGAAGTTTCCCAGCTTTATCATAGAACCTTTCAAATGTGGAGTTCTAAGTGCACATTTTTGCGCCACATTTTTGCCCGACCAAAAATTGCCGAGTGGAAGCGCTCAGCACTTCTAAAAGCAGGTAACTTGCAAACTCCTCACCTTTGTAGATGAATATTAACAAGGTCAGGATCCAATAGAAGTAGTCATACAACTTGCCAAAGTAGAACAGTATCTCCAGCGTCAACGATGTTAGCTGCAAGGACAGAGACTGATATCAAAGGCCACAAGCTTTGTATACCTATTTCTAAGGGCGCCAGCTGGACTTGAGAGATCTCGTGCTGTTGTGAGAGATTGCAAAACAATCCGCGTCATGTTGTAGGAGACAGAGAATGGACGGCATGAGGTTGCACATTTCAGAACAATCACAGGGCCAGGTTTCCTTTGTATTTACTGCCTGTATATTGTAATTGCACATCCTGCATCTTCATTTCAGCTTGAGCTCACCACTTGGCGTGCTTGCCCTGCAACCAAGAAAGGGCTTCTTCAGGTAAGGGGCCGGATTGAGTAGTCAAAGGGCGGCAGGTGAACCATGAGGACTAAATGCAGAGAGCTATGGAAAGATGCTGTTGCTTTGGTATCTTTTGATACAAAGCACCGGCGAATGATCAGAAAACTGGAAGATGATGAGCAGCAGTGGTTAAAGGGAATTTGGAAGACGCCTCTCTTACCTGGTGCCATGGTATCAAGCAGGAGATATCCTGCCTTGATGAATGCAGTGCTGCGTCAGCATCGGCCAGTCCTACATCGCAGCCCCCTTCTAGCCACGCAAGGACTCTTGGTCTTTACGCTTGCACGAGCTCACTGAGCTGCCTGAGCTGCCACTGCCACGGTGCCCAAGCGCCGTCCTGGGATTCAATGGAATATAGTCTTCTTCCTCTCCTAAAAGGACGAGAAGGGTGCAGGCTGTTGACAACAGTGAAACCCTGATTCTAATCTCCAGTGCAGCGCCGGCGACTGGGGTGAAACGCGCGCGATCGCGAACGGTCTCTAACTTCGAGTCTAGGGTCACCGAATGGTATTTTTCTGAATATGTATTGGTATCAGCACATATCAATCCGTCCTTGTTAAATGAATTGATATGTGAATGGTGCCAGAATGGTATTACCGGGGGAAAATATGCCTTGTCAGTGCTGAAAATACCCGTCGGTAGAAGAAAATGTGCCTGTTTTCATTAATGCCTATTTGATGGTCGTGAGCGCTTATGAATACCAGATAATAGGCCTTTTTATTGAGTAACAACTGCTTAATCTAGAAGTTTCGCCCGTTCATAGAGTCCAGATCTGGACAAGTCAGAAGACAGATTGAGACTGCATTGCAGCGTAGGTGACCTTCAGGGACTGGCAGCATCCTCCAACCACAATGGCGCCCTCAGAGCGAGCTTACGAGTGGGACCTAGTCGCAGTCCTCGAGGACAGGGGAAATCGAAGGGAGCCCCGTGTCTCCTGCAACTACTGTGGCAAGGAGATGACAGCGGGGGCGACGAGGATCAGAGCTCATATCCTGGGCATCAAACCTGGGCTTGGCGCTGGCAAATGCACTGAATCAAAAGAGGCGGTGCCCCCAGAGGTCAGGCAACGTTTGCAGAAGACAGAAGACGAGAAAGAGCAAGAGGAGCAGCGAAAGCGCCGCCGGGAGCAGCTACAGCGGGTAGCATCATCAGCCCAGTCATCTCTCCAGGCTTCAGGATCTGGTCGGCAGAGCAGCATTCAGTCAGCATTTGCAAGAGCTGACAAATCAGAGGTAGACAGATCGGTGGCCAGATTCTTCTACGCAAACGGCATCCCTTTCAACGTTGCCAGGAATCCCTTTTTCAAAGAAGCCGTCAGCGCTATCGCTGCCGCTGGCAACACCTACAAGCCTCCAGGAAGCAAAGCCCTGCGCTCGAACCTCCTGGAGAAGGAGCTCGATGAGCTGCAGACAGACATTGACAGGTTGATGCAACCGGCATTGGAGAAGACTGGCGCCACCATTGTTAGTGACGGGTGGACAAACACGACCAACCACCCGTTGCTGAACGTGCTGGTCATCACTCCTGGGCTGGAGGTGTTCACGACAGCGATTGACACCAGTGGGGAGCGCAAGTTCGGGGAATACATAGCGGAGCAACTCATCCCTGTCATCGAGAAGGTGTGTTTATAAGGTCATGGCAAGCAAAGCATTTCCTTGCAGTAGATTGGTTTGTTTCCTCGTGCTTGTGTGCTCTTGTATACTAGCTTGCAAGGCTTGTGCATGTGTGTTGTATATCAGCTTGCAAGGCTTGGTGCATGTAAAGGTCTGAGATGGAATTTCTGCATAGTGCATAGCGCAGGTGATCTTGTCTAAATGACAATGCTTGAGAAAATGTCAATGCTTGAGTGTTGTGGAAGTACATTCTGTGTTGTGCATGAAGTTCAGCGTGCCGCACGTAGATCTGTGGTGGTTCTGATTTGAAGCCAACATCTGTGCAGATCGGGCCCGACAACGTGGTTCACGTTGTCATGGACAATGCGGCAAACTGCAAGGTTGCGGGCAGGTTCATCACTGCTCGCTTCCCCTGGATCACCTGCTCGGGATGCGTGGCTCATGGGATGGATCTTGCTCTGGAAGACGTCGGCAAAGAGGAGTGGGTCTCTCCCACTTTGAAGGCCGCACGTGATCTGGTCAAGTTCATAACCAACCATCACAAGACAATCGCACTCTTCCGCCAGCACTCGGATCTGGAGCTTTTGAAGCCAGGAGACACCCGGTTTGCCACATCGTTCATCACGCTAGAGAGGTTGCTGGAGGTCAAGGACAGCCTCCGTGCAACCGTGGGGCATCCCGACTGGACCTCGTGGGCCGCAGCACAAGCACCTGCAACAAGAGCTCTGGCTGAGGACATACAAGAACTGGTGAGAATCTGCACAGTTGCTGAGTACTGAACCGATCTGGTTCGTGGACTAGTTACATGCATTGAATGCATCAGGTTTTCTGCATCTGAGTGTTCTTGTAAGTGTACGTCTGATTGTCTGTGATTGTGCACCTAATCATTGTAGACTTGGATTTGGTCAGCTGGATCTTGTAATCGAATCAGGGTTTTGCATCTGACGAATCATTGACCTGTGCCTCTGGATTGTGCCTTTGTCTCTTGCATGTGATTAGTAATGAAATTAGATTAGCAACATCTGATAAGACCAGTTGGACACTGATTGCAGCATTTGCCTTGAAACAAGCAGATCTTTGTAGACGTACGAATGAATCTGCTGCTCTCATTAAAGTATTCGTCGATCGACTTGTAGGTGTTCACGGCAGCCTTCTGGAAAGAGGCGAGCGAGATTGCTCAACTCTCCATCCCCATCGTCAAGGTTCTTCGCTTGGCTGACTGCCCGGCGCCCACAAGCGGCAAGATGTACAAGGCGTTCGAGCGGTGCAGGGAAGAGATCGAGGGGCTGGACGTGAACGCGACCAAGAAGAGACGGGTTCTGGACATCTTCGAGGAGCGAAGGAAGTTCGTCCTCTCAGATCTGCTCATCGCTGGCTATGTGCTGGATCCAGAGTTCCGAAAGGAGGACCACTTTGCCAAGCCGGAGGTTGCTCAGGGGTTCGTTCGAATGTTGGAGAAGCTAGTGCCTGACCGTGCTGAACGAGCGCGAGTTGTCCAGCAGCTTGCCATGTACAGGTTTGTTTGCGAACGAGCTCTTGGACGAGACCGGCAAGACACTCCCGAGTCATGACTGGTGGGGTACGTGGGGTTCGGAGGTCCCTGAGCTTAGGAAGGTTGCAATGAAGGTGACCTCGCAGCCGACGTCGGCATCCGCATGCGAGCGAAACTGGAGCTTGTTTGACTTTATCCATAGCAAGAAGCGGAACAGGCTGTCCGTCAGGAAGTCCAACGATCTCGTGTACGTTTTCAGCAATCTCCGTCTCAGGAAAAAAGTGCAGGCCGTCGACTTTGAGGAGGCATTTGTGAATTGGAACTCCGATTCGGACACTGAGCCCTAAAGTATTGTTATTTAATTGCTAGGGCAGAGAACAAGGACTTCGTTGCCGCTTAGTATTGCCTCTTCAATGATGCAATCATCGTGGTAGTTCCTCGATCAATTGAAGTTCCAACTGATTGATTACACTTAAGGGCGTACAACATGTTGCATTTGGTAATACACCATCATGTATTGACAATGATCTATATGTAAAAGTTGTTTCGTCACTTGGTTATCTTGACGTACTTCATGAACGATCCATAGACTGCGCTTGCGCCCCATGTCATACCATCAATTAGACAAGTATGATTGGTTCAACGGCTTGATTGTGACAATGATGGAGTTGTAAGAAAGCAGAGTCTATCACTATGGATGAATCATGACACTCGGAGCCAGAAAGGCCTAAAACCTCATTCTATCAACTCCATATCAACTCCATTCATCCATCGTTTGAATGGTATATCATTCGCACCATCCGCCCTAGCAAAATGAGTTGATACCATACACCATGCGGTGACTATGAGCCTAGTGCTGGCCAGTTGTAAGAACTGGGCACTCTCAAAAATCTCAGGACCGTTCGATTTGACCTTACGACGCTATTAGATCGTATTGAAGATGTAGCTATAGCGGCTTTTCGACCGTCCGATGACAATACAGCTTGCGAGGTCGGAAACTTGAAAGTCGGACTTGGTCGGACTGTCCGTTCGGTCATGTGACAAGCGGAGCTGGTAGTATACAGCTAGCTCTTCCATAGCTAGTTAGCTCATTTCATGGGGGACGTTTTGGCAAAGCAGGCTCAAAAATATCAGAAGGCGTCACCTTCACAGGCTTCAGTTCTTTGGGCATTTCGCTTTGGTGGCAGAAGAGCCCCGCTTGAATCTTGCTCAAATAACCATTTTATGCAATCATTCAATGTCACTTTACGGTAGGTTATTCCAAGACCTCCGAGCTTGTGTGAATCAACTTGAAGCGCAAGTCCTCCCTTGAAGTCCGAGTCCCAGTGGCTGGTAAAGTCATTTTGTGGCTGAGGTGCTTTGGAGGATCTGAAGTCCACCATGCCGCAATTCAAGTTCAGCTTCACTTTACCAAAGGTGAACCTGATGGTTTCTGTCAGTAAGACATCGAAAGTGAAGAGAGTCCAACATTTGGAGTGGGCACTTTTGAATAGAGAACAGACGTGCTTCATGAGTCGTGCTATTCTTCTGATGCTTGCGCTTTTTCAAGATGTTGATCAAGCACGACACAGACTTCCCCAAACCTCTCACTTCATGCCGCGGACCCTCTGTTGCTGGTCAGAAGACCAGTGAAGCAGCTGAAGTTCAAACGGGTTGTTGAATCTGTTTCCAACGTTGATTCACCTTTGAATCTCCTGCAGTTTGGCAAGGAGCGAGAGGGCCAGACGAGCACGTCAGACAATGAGGACAACGTACCGAACCCGGAAGCCCGCGAGGTCCTAGCGAGCGAGGTGGGCGATACTCTCACCCAATCGCATTGCCCGTGCTTCCGTCAAACATTGAGTACCCACTCCAATCTTCAAATTTTTGTGATTACTAGCTTGGAGGGCTCTGTGTCATCTGGAAAAGCTGGACCTCAGAAATAGGCCATTCTTATCTGGTGTCATCGCCAGTCCATTGCTTGATTCTCGAAAGCTCAGCGCAATATCGCCAGAGCCGAACCCTGATATTGTTGACAACGTTTTACAAACCCATTGCAGGGTCTGAGCCTTGAGGAGGCACAGATGGACCCGCTGCCCTTGGACCGTGGTCTGATCCTCCTGAAGGTGCGCCAAAAGATCTCACCGCTTTCCAATCGAGCACCGGACGCCTCTCTGATGAAATGCCTCCGGAGATGCTGCTTGCCTGAAACACCTCTCAATCACTGTTGATGTTGGGCCCCGCTGTGTTCAATTGCAGGGCCGAGTCCCAAGCAGCGCGACCGCAACGGTAGGGGCCAGCCAATCCGACCTGGTGCCGGGCAAGTACGAAGGTACGCTTTTCCAAGTTCTTGTCATTGCCGCAGACTTGTGGATATACAAAGAAGGTGTGGGCAAATTGGCTTGATGCTTGGGCATGCTTGGAAGCACCCCTCTGAAACTCTCATGATGAATCTTTCTTGTTCTTCCCAGGCGGTTTCAAGTTGTGGGAGTGCACGACCGACCTCATCGAGACCCTGCGGAGGGAGATTCAGGATGGCAGATTGTCGTTCAGGGGCAAGCATGTACTGGAGGTTCGTGAGCGGCCCTCCCGAACTGTCACTTATCACCAGCTGCCTGGGGGGCCGTGTTTCTGCCCCCCTCGACTGAAACCGAATCTGTTGCCTTGTAGCTGTGCTTTGATTGGTGTCACTCTAGCTTTGGATGTACTCACTATGGGATCTGTTCCTGGAAAGCAAGTAGAAGATTCACTCAGTTGCACAAACATATTGGTGGTAATTCTACTCACCTGCTTCGACATTTTTCGCAGCTGGGCTGCGGCCATGGGCTGCCAGGCATCCTTGCATGCATCAAGGTAAACCGAAACCCACACACACTCTATCTTGTATCCTGTTGGGGGGCCGCTTTTGAAGTCTGTTGCTAGTTGGACTCCTTCTTCCCACATAGTCTCCGCACAATAGGCAGCCCTCTCCGAAGATGTCAATCCCGTAGCATCTTTCTTCAGGGGCCGATTTGTGAACTGTGATTGAAAGGCCGACCTTTGGATTCGAATCCAAGTATTACTCCATTGCTCGCAGGGAGCGCACCGCGTGCACTTCCAGGACTTCAATGCGGAGGTGCTGACCTCGCTGACCATCCCCAACGTTGCGGCCAACCTGGCGCACGCCCGAAGCATGCCACGGAGGGTCAGCGAAGTGAATGTGCCCACCGTATCCAGGACACCCAACCCGGCAGTCGAAGTGAAGTACTTCGCAGGTGGGGGACTCACGCACAAGTAACGCCCATCTTTTGGACAGAGTTCTGTAAGGGCAGCGGTGAACGTCTTCGGCGTCTGTTATCCTGGTTCGCTCTCTTAACTTTCAAGCGGCACGAATTCGTAATGCCAACCATTACTTATCTGGACTTCTCGCCTTCTTCCCTGAATCGGCTAAGACTGCCTAACCGGTAATCAATGACCAAGGGCCCAGGACGACCTGCCTGAATGTAAGCAATTTCTATGTTGTGACTCCCGTTTGTACGGTGCGCAGGCGACTGGGGGGACATGCCCGGGGTGCTGTCGATGGTTGACAAGGAGACGGCGCCCGAGGCCCTGCACGGCCGGGAAGCCTTCCACCCAGTCAGCAGCTTCGAAGACCTTGCCGCAATGGAGAACTCTGCGGAGAACATCCTGGCGCAGGAGCGGGAGCAGCCACGTGTCGACAGCACGTCGAGCGCGGCGTCGGCGCACGAGACCCACAGCCGGCGGGAGTCGGTCGGGGAGGAGCCGCACGGCGCGGCGGACCTGCCCGGGGCAGTGGCGAGCACCGCGGATAGCACGGGGGGGAGCAGCGGGGACAGCACCGGGCAAGACCAGGTGAGAATTGCGTCGAGGACGTCCGATCCTACTAAAACAAGCATGGCCGTGCTATCCAAGTGGCTATCCATGTCGTACTCTGGGGCGTGGGTCCTCCATAGCCCTTTGGAAGACTCTTTGATTGCGGCACTCACCGCAGATTGCCGCCCCTTCGTTTTCTCTCCTTTGGTTGTTCCCATCTGAAGTTGGGGCGTGCACGTTCCAAACTTGCTCGTCTGCGTCGTCCTCGGTTGCCAGTGTCCGTGCCCGGTTTGTGAGCCCACTCCCGTTTGCAGGTAAGCACTGCCAAGCGAAGCGACCGGGAGGCCTCGGTCCACCAGACCGGGGACAGTGCGGTCGACGGCGGGGCCGGGCACCCCTCGCACCCCCATGCCTCGTTTGCGCGGGCTGCGAGCGTGGAGTCAACGCCCCAGTGGACCTCGCAGCGCAGCAGCTTCTCCGAGGCGGGCATGAGCCGGCGGGCCAGCCACGTGGAGGAACCCAAGGGCGGGTATGACGTCATCCTGATGGCGGAGACGGTGTACTCGCCCGCGTGCTACCAGAAGCTGAACCACCTGATCAAGAAGGTGGGGAAGGGAGCTTTTGCAATGTGCAGCCGGGTTGTTCGACAAAGGAGCCGGGAAAGTCACCCATACGATCGGCTTCTTTGTCCACTCATGAAACAACATGCATGGGGATATTGTGATTTGCGCCTGGTGCATACTCTGAACGAGAAAAGTTCTTGTCATTCTTGCGCTTTCAACCTGGTAAAGGCTCAAAAAGGTCTGTCTGATTGCCCGTTCCAAATAGGAGCTCCTTTATAAGCCCGCGGAATCAGTTCGAAGAGCTTTGCTTTTGGTCTTTATGCAGGCTCTTCGCTCTCCGTACGGCGTGGTATACCTGGCGGCCAAGAAGTATTACTTCGGGGTGGGGGGAGGCACCCGGCAGTTCAAAGCGGTCCTCGAGGAGGACGGTGAGGACTCACTTCTTAATGCGAAAGTCGTCAGACGCCGTGAACCTGAAGCTTCCGACTTACTTCACAGCAAAGGTATTGCCAACTTCGGCTGCGGCTTCCATCTGCTTCTGCGACTCAACCTTCTCTTGCCAAAGTTCTTGTTTTCTCTCCGGGCAAAATAATCGTTTCGGTTCTGGGCCTCGTTCGCAAATGATGCTTTCGTGCCTGCAGGTCTCATGGCCGGACACCTGCTCGCTGAGTTCGTCGACGGTGTTTCCAACGTACGAGAAATCTGGAAGTTCTTCTACAAGACGCACTAATATTGCAACAAGACGCACTAACATGGCCGGAAGGACTGCGCCTTTCGTGTATTTTATCGGTCATCGGGGCCTGCATGCGTTTGCAAGAATCCTGAGAGACACTGGATGGATTGCGTGCTTATTCTGGGATGACAGACTATCAGGATTCTGACTTTTCTACTGACTATCTACAGAATAAGGTTTGATGGCTGTGGTGGTCAATCTCATGTGCTTGGTGTCCTGACATGCTTGGCGGCGCCATAGCACCCCTGTATTTTAGGCGCCACTGGCCAACCTATGACTTGCAGTTCTTCCCACAGTTCTGTGCCGCCTTCGATCTCTTGCAGACCCATGCTGGGATTTGCCGTTGGCACTTCTTATCTTGCCATGCCATCATAGAGTCGGCGCTATCAGTGTCAATTCTTTAAGCTCGATTGGTTCGGTCCCATATTTTGGCCTCTAAGCCGGCATGCAGTGACGGTCTGGGATGCAGACCGAAGCGTCCCCATCATTGCAAGTCATGGCGAGGCCCGAGCTACGACAATTATACATACAGAACATACTCAAGTTGGTTAAGATGGTGAATGCCTGGGTGCAGGATAGATATACTAATTCGATTATTGCCCGGGCTCTGAAGCTGGCCCGCATAAGGGCCGCGCTCGACCAGTACGCGAACCTAGCCGCCCGGGCTGTGCACATGCATGGAACATGGATTGCTGCATGGCATGCAGGCTATAGCTCATGGGGCCGCGCATCTGTCGAATTGGAAGTTGCACACAAGTGCGACTTTGACGGACTCGATTACCTTAATTATTTTTGAGCTAGATACCCACTTCATAATACGTGCCTTATGGCCTGACGGCCCCGGTACTGAATTCGTTAATGATACGTGGGTGCACGCGGCGACATGAAGTCTAAAGCAAGCTATATATTCTTAGGTTCATGCTGCATTGAAGCACACACGCCTGCATACTAATATGAGTTACTCCTATGTGACGTATATTGCGTGGACGGTAGTGGACAAGAAGCTATAATGTCACGACATATTGCTGAGGAAGATTGTGTCAATCATACCTCGCGGCACATAATAAAGACAGTACAAAACACAGCATCCATGCAGGCATAGTCTCAAGACGGCTGCCGTTTCTAAATTCTAATGGCAGAACTGCGACGGGATGATCTTCCCGGGGTTCAGAATGTTGTCCGGGTCGAGGGCCTTCTTGATCTTGCCCATGGTCGCGATCGCCTCTGGCCCAAGCTCCTCTTCCAAAAACTGCACAACAAAAAAGCCGCTTTCGAGCAACCATTCAAGGTAATTCACGTGTTTCCCAACCGATCAACAATTCCGCGGACACACTGTTTCTCACCGCAAGCATACAGTACTCCCCAGAACAACGGATATAAGCCGAACAATTTTCAATTCAAAGTCTGCGTGGGCAGAGGATGCACAGAAATACGACACGCCGGACGAGGAACCTCGTTCGGAGTTTGTTCTTACCTTCATCTTTCCTAGGCCGATGCCGTGCTCGCCAGTGCAGCTTCCTGCGAGAGATGTCAAAAGACTGATTGCTGAGTGTGGGTCCTGCAGTAGATACTCGGATTCGTTGTCGATTGGAGATTTGACTAGAGATGGGAAGCAGCGCAGGCTCTTCTGATTGCCCCACTCTCTTAGCACAAAGGCAGTACTTTTCCGGTTGCAAGGCCATTGTGCCCATGGAAATGGACGATCGCCCGAGTCAAGCAACACGCTCTGAAGAAAGAGTGCACTAAAAACAAGAGGGGAAGCGGCACCGTAAGAACGTGAGGAAGTCGCTTATGGACCCCAAAATTCTGCTTCCGTGTGGACCACACACTCAAGTCAAGAGCACCTGCGTTCTCGAAGCACAGTGCAGATGCCGATGGGGCAGTTCAAGCAACATGATCCCCCAGACAATCCTTGATTGAGGACGCGTGCACACCGACAAAAGTTGCAACTGAGAAAGTAGTGTTTTTATAGCTTGATCGATCTAGAATCAACGAGCTCAGGTGCGCCTCAACAAGGGCCCAAACAGCGGGCCAAAAGGTCGCCGCCAAATACGTGGCTGCGCGGCGCACCTTCCGCGGCGATGGCCCGGTGCACCATGTCCTTGGCCAGCTGGTTGGCCTCCGCCACCTCGCGCGGGTCCGCGGGGTCGAACAAAATAATGACGTGGTAGTTGCCGTCACCCGCGTGCGACAAGATAGGACTGCAGGGGGCAGCAACGCGCTGTCGTACGTTGACATCATGGGAAAAGCGCGTCAACGAACTGCTGACGAGGCGCGAGCGGCACGAATGCGAGAGACCACGAAAGTGCAAGACACTGCTGAACGACAGAAAAGCGTGTGGGGCTAAGCAGGACACTGCGCTGTCGGAGACGCTAAGGGGTGTGGCAAGAGGGGCCTCGGACAGTGCATGAAGCGGGCATTGAATAAAGCACAAAAGCACAAGCAGCAACTTCCTCCTGGAATCCGACACAGATTTTAGGATAGCCCGAGACCGCCTAGCTAGAGGCCCAGTTTGACATCAAGTGAATCGCGAACTGACAGGTTGCAAAAACCCAAGCAGGGGTCGCTTACCAGACAAGTGACGACGCCTCCAACTCCACCTTCGTTTCGGCGATGCTGTCCGCGAGCTTCGAAAGCGGAACGCACACGTCCTGGCACAGAGACGAGGATATTTTTTAAACAAAGATTCCCTCAGCAGAGAAGCGAAAGAGTAAATCCATTCTACAACAGCACAATTGAGAACTTCACGACAGAGTGAATCCCAAGGCGCTTCGGGAAGTACGTTTGCATCTAAGCAGGTGGCGCTTAACGGACCCTGAGCGGTTTCTACTTCCTCGAAGGCTGTCTACCCCGTCCGGAAAGTCTGCTCACTGCCCGAACCGCTCGAACTAATTGAAGGGTATTCACGGCTAGATCAGGTGTCCAGGCTTGCCATCGCTCGGTCTGGAATCAGAACAGGTTATCCAAAACCGCAGAGTATTCTCACCGTGACCATGGCCTCTGCCCCCGGCCGCAGTGTGAACGTGGACCAGAACGCCTCCTTTCGGACGCGCCACAGCTCCTCTTTCTCGTCCGCATCTTGCGTGTAGACGAAGTCGCTCCCTCGACAACCCTTGGACAGCTTTTCTACGCGCTGAGCCTGCTCTATTACAGACGCCTCTGCAACGTGACAAGAAACGAGGTTTTAGAAGCTCTGAGGGTTGGGCTGATCTAATATGCCAAAATGTTATATCCTGGAAGATGGTAAGAGGTTGACGATTTACCGGGCGACGTCTACTGGTAAGGTTGAGAAGTTACCTCCGAGTTGCTTGAGGCCATTCCACAGGACCATTCATCTTCAACCGTCCGTATGAGTCCGAAAATCGTCAATCTAGTTCGTTGCGCGATAGACTGGGCCATTACGGCAACTCTGTTTTTCATCCGCCCCATCTGCAGTTTAGGGGAGGGCTTTGAACCAATGTTCCGACTTGCACCAGTAAGATCATTACCCGTTTGGTTCGGTAGAGTCAGCAAGTGCGTTTCTTCGTTGGCCCCCTTTTGAAACAGGACAACCTTTTTCTTGGATTTCATTAACCTTGGAGGGGGAGCAGAAACAAGAACATGGTCGACTCCGATAACATCAAGAACTAAGTTACCAACAGAAAGCGAAAAACAGGATCCTTTTGAATATTCAGATGGCAAACGCACGAGAGCCGACAAACTCGAACATGAGCGTCGGCTTCTCGGGGAGCGTCCGGCCCGTCGCCTCATTAATGCCCCTCATCATGACCTCGTCCAGCATCTCCACGCGCGACACCTGGCAGAAAGGAAATGAGGATCGGTCACCAATAGTCCAACAAGGATGGGGACCGGTTCCCCGCGTATGTGCTTTCAATATCTGTATGTGTCCACACCCTCAAGTGCTGAAAGCATCGCCGTTCAAATGGTCCACTGGAAACGAGGACCTTCTGGGCCTGATCTGGGTATCTATTCAGCTAGCCCAAAAGACTTTGAGCTTATCTCATTGCTTGAGTCTTGACAATGTAGCCGCGGCTGGCTTTTTCGGATGGCCATTCATCCGAGGCGAGCGACGACTTTCAGCCGATACTTTTTGCACTGTGAGGATCACCTGGATTCCCGAGTGCATGGCCGCGATGGAGGCGTCGGCCGCGTCTTTGATCGTTGGAAAGGTACACATGGCGACCTGCGCAAGAGCGATATGTCAGCGGAACCAACGAAAATCAACTACCTCTTCGTCTACCCAGTTTATGATCGCCTCGGGCAAAGCTGGCATGCTTCGTGCTCAATTCGCTACTGGACGACTTCTTGCGTGACTATGGAGTAAACAACACTTTTCACAGTAGGAAAGTGCTGACGAAGGGCGGTCATCTCCTACGTAAGCGAATAGGAGGATCCAGATTCACTTCAACTGGAACCTAGAGACGTTCGACTGCAATTCAAAGGACGGTAGCTTCTTGTCCAAACAAGCACTCGAACGAAGCATGTATGGCAAAGGCCATACAGACAAAAGGAGCGATGGTTTGGCATGGTACAAGGTTCAAATTGGATCATCTGAAAAGTCGAACTGAAATCAACTGGCTCTTTCGAATGAATCTAAGTAGGCGCTCACCGCTGTCGCTTCTGGTATCCTTTGAAGACGCAGAGTGACCTCGGTAATGACCGCTAGAGTCCCTTCGCTGCCAATGATCAACCGCGTCAAGTCGTACCTGCGATACAAACATGACGCAACGGGTCATTTGGCGGAAACGGGGCCACAGCCGTCGCATAGCACCCCGTGTTTTGTCTCTCTGCACAGCCTTTACAACGGACGTCGTCGTCAATGTCGTATGTTGTTGAACTTGTGAAGTGGATGGATGTTCTCTCAATCACCTCGGAGGTGAGCATATCAAACCTGGGCCACTTTCCGGCAGACAGGTAGCATCACTCTGGATCTCCGCAAAAGGGAGCGAATGCGGAAACTCCCAAGAGGCTCGGAAAATCAGAGTGCTTGGCTGTCAAACTCACGAGCAACCCTGCGAGATTAAGCAAACATGACTGCGTCTCGTCTTAGGACGTCGATCAACCATACGCGGGCCTCCTATGCCATCCGCCGTTACTGGCCGGTGTGACGCCAGGCGAAGCTAGGTCATCGGCTCAACGTATGGTACAAATGGCGCTCCAGCCAATCTCCACTGCATACGTCCAACGCTTTCCACATAAATTTTCTGCAACACCCAGACCGATTCCGGACCCTCCTCTGTGCCCAGCGGTACGTCCGAGCGGGCCTAAAGACGTTTTTGAAACCCACGGGTCGATCAAAGGCGTCATTGGCATGAGAGGTTCGAGTGGTTTCCCTGCTTCACTGAGCTTCAGCCTGAAGCCCAAAGCAGTTTTCACTAAGAAAGACAGCGGAAGTCGTTCCGTCCGACAGAGGCGAAGACGATTGGGCAGCTCTTCCGATCATTAGACCCCGGCGTTCGAATCTGAGGTGACAGGGGTAAACTGAAGAGCCAGGTTTGATTTCACTTTATCGGTCACATATTTACGAGGCATGGGGCAAAGCTCGTCACCTGTTGGCGACGTAGTCACCTCTGTGTCAGAAGCACATGGAAAGAAAGGCAGAGTTCAGAGGCAGAAGCAACAAAGGCTAGGGTTCGATACATTAAGCAGTCAACTGAGGCAGTTAGTCGAGAATGCCCTCACAAGCCTGGTTCGGTCTTGCAAAAGCGAACTGAAAGAAGCGGAGAACAAGTATGCGGCTCTGTTTTTACTGCAATAAACGCAGGGAAGAAAGCCAGAGCGTAACTTCGCAACTATTGCCATTACTGCGAAACAGACCATTCCAGATCGCATTCCCCAAACTTCAAGCATGCCGTTTCTCCTGTACGCCTCACTCGTGAAAGCGTGCGCCTTTTCCTTGTCACAATGAGACCTTAAAGCGTTAACATCCTCCTAAATAGCAGGCACCTGGCACCAGCAACTTGAAAGTCTGACGCGAAGACGACCAGATAGTTCTCAAACAGTGCCAGCCTAACGACGCTGTCTGGGGAAGATCCGCTTTGGCTGCAAGTGTCGTCAGGAATTAGTTTGCAAGACGATGCAGGGATTGATGGCCTCAGGGAACTCAATTTTGGACTTCGTCGTCTCGTTTCCACCACAATGAGCTTCAGTACGAAGCCCGAGACAAAATCATCATGGCCACTGAAGCGAGCAGAGTCTCAAAAACCCTTCCCTTTTGCACTTTCTTATGAAAGACGGAGGACTGCTCACCAGGGCCATCTGACAAGGAGAAAAAGCCGCCTTGGACGAACGGTCAAGTGCGATGGGAGAATGCGATACGTAAGACCGAAATTAGAGACAGACCGACCGAACCCAAGACGGCTGCAAACAAGGTCCTTGACAGAGTGAACAATGCTAAAAGCCACCTGCAATCATCGTTGTTAGTAGTCCCGCGTCTGATTTCGTTAGGCTTAGCAGGACAGCACGGTATGGCTTTCTTGTCGAGCTTTTGTGAGCCCCAGGGTTGGAGCCCAAAGCGAACTTCGTCATTGCCGTTATTCAGGTGCCGACTTCAAACGTGGAAGCAGCAGCAAAACACTTGTTCTTGTCATGCCAGCTGATCACTTTTGGAGCAATGCTTACAAAGAGTAAAATGCTTCTTCGGACTCCGCCTGGCTGCCTGCAAACCAGACCAAGGGCTCAAGTGCCTTCTTTACAAGTTGGACACTCGCTGCAACGAGCTGATGCGGGTCAAGCCTTGCAAATACTTTATCAGACACGACCAGTATCGCGCAGCATTCCGCCCAATTAAAACGCTTATCGGCGGTCAAAAAGAGAGAGCGAGAACCAATGACTCTCCGACTGAAGAAGACAATACCGACAAAGCTCTCCGTCCAGCAGACTGCAGAGCGCTGCTTTTTGACGCCTTTCAGCTACCGGACAGTACGAAAAAGGCACAAATTGGCTCCGGACAAAGAGTGCAAAGATCGTCTGCCCAGTCGCCCAAACTGTGCATAAGCGTGAACCCAAATACGTGGAAAGAGTTTTCTGTATTTCCGATCTCACTCCAATTGCATCATCGCAAGCTTCTACGAACTCGGCCTGCTCCTGCGGCCGAGGACGCGGATGAGGTAGAGTGCAGCAAGCAACATGAAAGACATGTCAGCGTCATTGAACGGGCAAGAAAAAACAAGGGAAATGGAAGCCGATCCTCGTTGTCTGTCGCTAAGACTTCAACACTGTAAACAGGAGAACCAGGTTCTCTTCCGTCTCAATCACTTGCGCAAAGGCAAGAGGCTTTCGGAGGCCTCGTAATTTTGTTGGCTCTCAAGCCGGGCAACTCTATCACAAGCAACACAGGAAAGAACGATGTACGAGGGGCTTTGGAAGAAATAGAGAAGCTCTGAGCTTCGGCTGAACTCAATAGCCAGGTTCATCATTGCCACGGGGGGTCCGATCTATCTTCACCATTGAGGAAGTATGTACCACTTCTTAGAGAAGAAGTCGTCCATCCCTACAGGAGCCACTGCTGTTTTGATGAATGCAGAATTCCTTTCCTCAAGAAAAGTACAAAGTCAGCAGCTCGAGCTACGGCGATCGCAACTGCACACCGCAAGCCATAAAAGGCAGACGCTGACAAGGTTGGGACATGATTATTTTTGAAACCGAACGCAGCTTGCATTCACATTAGTCTTGCCTTGAATGGACAAAACGACAGGGAGACGCTCCAATCGGAGAAAAGTTTTTCAATACTGAGGCTTTCTCTGAGCATGTTCAAGAAACGAAATCCGCACTATTGCAACCAAGAATGAGAGGTCGGCAAGATTTTTTGAATGTCAATGTTATGCACATTGCGGGTTGTGTTTGAACACGTCCGTACAGCCAGACCAGAGGACAGCCGGAAGCGAGTAGCTCCACACCATAACACAACTGAGCTTGTATCAAAGCCCAGAACGAGAAATTGTCATTGCTGAGTCAAGAAGCTGACGATTGCGCTCTAACAGTCAGTTGACAAATTCCAAGCTGATGAAAAATTCAAGACGAAAGAGCATACATGTGGCGAATAACGGGGTCACCAAAGGGCGTGTCGCTCTTATCCGAATACTTCCAAACAAGTCGGTGGTCGTGACCGCCACTAACAAATCAGTGACACCTCATGGCCGGTGCATCAAACCGGGGTGGTGCAAACCAGAAGTACCAGCGGCCGGGCTCTTCCGTCGTCTCTGACGATTGAAGAAATAACTCTTGTTTCATGGTAGCTTAGACCATGCTGAAGGAGCACCATACTCTGCTCAGGTCGAGCCTTTCCCTCAGGGCAGTGAAAAGGTCTAGGAGCCCACCCTGCGGCGCTCTTTCGACTCCTGGCTGACGTTTTGACGACGTCACCGTTGGCCAACACTGCTTTCATGGAGATGACGTTGTCCCGCATTGTACCATACCTGCGCCACGAGATGCTGATGCGCTGAAATACCTTTCATCTGAAGGTATAATTGCGGAAACCTTTACAGACAAGGAAGCCTTGCGGAAGTATGTCCTTGCAGCTGACTCTGTGCATGAGTGGCCAAGCATGAACCACCTCTGAGGCGGGAAAATTGTATTGGGAACAAGGATCAGCACCTTGTCGAAGTAAATGCAAAATCTGCAACGGCTGCTGTAGTGGCGCGATCAAGACTAGAACCAACCACGACTTTCGCAAACAAGCGAGGTTGAAGCAGGAATTCCCGGAATTCCCACTCCTAATAGGTTAAGCCTTGTGTGTCTGCAAGGTCCCTATGATACAGGGCGGCCTCATGGCCCAGTCCACCTCAGACTACAGCGAACCAACAGCAATAACATTGATCTTTGACCCAAAACTTGCTGAAGCCCAGGTGCCCACCTAACGGCCAGTGATCCTGAACAACGGGTGGCGCACATGCCGCCAATAGAAGCCCCGGGGCCGGGATCGAGTGGGAAGAAGAAGCCGAGCGGCTTCAGGTACTCGTTCAGCTCAACCCACCCAATGCCCGGCTCGACAATGACGTCCATGTCGCGGGTGTTCAGTTGCTTGATCCCCTGGATTCAGAAGAATCTTCATTGATTCGTCAATGAAGAACACTCGATCTTATATCTTTCCATGAATGCAAAAGGGATCACACATCGTAAGGAAGTAAGCATCTGGAGAGCGATTTTTCCTGTTTGACGGCGGTCAAATCGTGGTGTTCCTCACCCATAGACACCGTCGTAAAGGGAAGCGGCGCCCCAATGCTGCTCACCTTCATTTTGGAAAAGTCTAAGCTGACTCCTTTATGAGGAGTCATGGTGTGGCCTTCGAGCGACGTTCCGCCGCCAAACGGCACAAGCGGGACCTTTTCAGCGGCGCAGGCTTTGACAATTTGGGACACCTCTTCAGTGGACCTGTTAGGTACACAAGGCAGAAGACCTTGGTCGGTATCTTGCATGTAAGAGGGCCAGACACGACTAAAGAACACTACACCAACTCAGCCAAGAAAACTTGACACAAACACAGCCTACAGACCCCAAGATAAAGATTGCCTACAGCATCCATCCCACGCGAGCAAACGAAAGATCTGGAAAATTATATCAAGTCCTTGCAGCCTTTTGGACAGCTCCGTGCAAGACTCGAATTGCACGTACAGGGTGTGCCGCCTGGTTGTGCTGCATTTACCATCACAGAAGACAGCTCTCAAGCCCCATCTCAACTGTACAACTTCATGACCTTAGCAACACGATGTCGTTTATTCACATGTCTTCGTGTGCAACTGGGCTTTCCATAAGTCGCTGTTTTCAGCAGAAGACCAGACTGCAGGTCACTCACTGCGGGAAAACAACCGCGTCTGGAAAGCCCTTCAACACGTGGTATGTGTTCCATGGCTTGCCCCGCGTCTTCCTCTCCTCCAGGTCTGTCTCCACGTTGTCTTCCTGCAGACAGGAGCTTCCTTCGACTTTGATCATCTTGAGATTATCTTGCTTTGTGAACTGACTATCTTCGAAGGTCCCATGTTAAGGTGGAACTTCATGAAAGACAGAAGATCAGCATCAGCGGTTTGGGGGCTTTGTCACTACCAACTTCTGTTACTCAAGATAGAGGTTCTTTATGCCTGTTTGTCCAGGCGCGACCTAGAGACTGATCGTCCGTTGGTCAATCCAGTAACTGTCGCCCCATATCTAAGTCTGTTCCAGCTTGAGTGCGCAGAGGCAATCGCAGAAACACCGCAGCTTTTGCCCCATGCACCTTCCAAGCTACAACTACTTCAGTTGCAAACCAGAAGGACTCCTAGCACACTCAGGTGATTGAGAGAGTGTCTTCTTTACACGTTCCAAAGGTATGCAACCAACGGAAGTTGATGGAAGAATGTGCCCATCTTCTCTTATGAACTGCAACACTTAGCACCACCATCGATCTACAGGCGTGAGCTTGGCCCTTCTAAACTGAACCAGTTTCGGCTGGTTCTCAGTGGTGGTATCCTTGAACCTGCCTTTCGAAGAATGTCCATGACTTTGCAACTGAAGTAAATTCCATGATCCACAACACAGTTCCTGGAGACTTTCAATGTCAAGCAAAGAACAGAGCCATAACTTTACTCACCCCAACAATCTCCACCAACTTTCTGTGCAGCGCTTCAGAGAAAGTCCCGTAGCTGGCCCCCTCCTCTTCTCGCCGCTCCGCATACTCCTGTTCTTCCGCCCATGCAGCATTGCCCCCGTATTGTATGGCGTAGCTGCTCAACAATCCGAGAAGGGCCACCGAGCCAAACCAGCTCCTACGGGTCTCAGCTGAACCGTTGGGCTGTGCTTCTGATGCAAGCAAAAGCTGCGCGGCCCCTCTATTAAAAAGCTGTTGTGAGGGTTCAATGCTGTGATTGGTATGGCCCGAGAAAAGGCGTGTGGCTGCCGCTAGAGGGGCAGCATCCGCTGGGAGGCTGATAAACCTGAGGGTGCTCTTCACAGACCCGCAAGCACAGCGCTGAGTGTTGATGCGTCCTAGAATGTGCCCAATTGCCTTGCCCAAGGAGGGAGCCATTCCTCAGCCGTCTCTACTCCCAATCAGCCCCTGCTTATTAGGATCTGATTGAAGAGGCGTTCTTCCAAGCTCAGGTGCTGCAGTGTCATGAGGACAGTCTTGGACACACACACACAAACTTAAAGCTTCAAGTTGAAGTATAGAACTCCGGATTGAGGCCCAGCTGGCCACCTTCAAAGTTCGAGTCTGAACCAGAGTGACCTGAGTTCGAACGGCTACAGTAGTGGAGAGCATGTGCAGCATTGCATTTGCTGAGAGGCCATCTGTGGGGCACTAGATCCCCTCAGCAGGAGACAAGACCAGACACAGGGGCCTGACTGCAACAGCTTGTGCTTCGTTCATTCTTCAACGATGGTGGTGGTCGCAGCTCAGAGAGCTGGCGCTGCCGGCCTGCAATTGGTCCAGGTGCAACAAGCGTCCTCCGCAAGGCAGTGGCGGAACGACGTGCCCGTATCCTCTGGTTGCATAAATGTGACACGCCCTTCTTCACATGTATGTAATAAAGGTTCCAGATGTTGTAACTACAAGCTTGAGGAGAGGCGTCTATTGAGCACCCCCCAGCATTCGCAACGATGGGCTCAATTTCGGAAGGGTATATGCTCTAGGAAGGGCCAGCGAACGAGGCCCACAAGGGCTCAGGCAGCTTCATTTGAGAGCTCGGATACCAGCGAACAAGGGGCTGCGAGTCAGTCTTCATCGTTTGCTCGCATCAGCAGTGTGTTGACGAACGCTTTCCCCGTTTGGGTGGCGCTGAGTTGCGCGTTGGCCCTCTACCGGCCCACACTATTCACATGGATCCAGGTAAGCAGATAAGCTCCATGTGAAGCCAGTTCCAAACGATCTCGATTTGCACCGGCACACCTACCCCATCAACACTCCGTTACTGATTGGGCCGTCTGTGGGCATGACATGTCAAACTGCAAAGGATTCTCTGACGAAACTTGCGTGAGGGCGGGTGGGCAGGGACCCACAACTTTGGCACATTTGGTGGTGCTCAAGCCATGTTGGTGTCGCTACAGGCCTCTCAGAAATGATTGTTCTTTCAGTCTTTGCACAGAACATCAATGGAGGCACCCCATCGCAGCATCACTTCCAAGCCAATAAGTTGGTCACCTCAAGTTTCCTGAAAACCGCAGTTGAATTTGTATGGCGGCTTCCTGTTCCATCTATCCTGTGAATATCTGTATCTTTCCAGCTACTAACCAGAACTAGATTGATACTTCTCCCCCTGCAGGGCCAGCTGACCATTTGGGCGCTAGGCCTGACCATGCTGGGCATGGGCACCACTCTCTCTTTCGACGACTTCAAGCTGGCGCTCCGCATCCCCAAGAGCTTTCTTGCGGGCGTGGCGCTGCAATATACTGTGAGACTGCCTCCCTGCTTTTTATTCACCTCTTTGCAACAAGCTGGTCATGTTCCTCGTGTCGCCGGTACTTCAAACATCTAAGAAAGCGATGTAAACTGATCAATGGACGCACTGCTCATGTCTTCGTTTGCTCCTCAGGTTCTGAGGACGGTGAAGTCAGAGGACCGAGCACGATCGGGTCTGTCCCTGAAACATTCCCTTGTGTCCAGGTGATGCCCGCCCTGGGCTATCTGATCGCCCATTTCTTAGGCCTCCCCCATCATTTCGCTGTGGGGATCATCCTTGTTGCGTGCTGCCCCGGAGGTGAGCCTCCAAAACAGCTCCTGCTGCAATCTGAAGCAAACTCTGAGTTTCGGGGCACCTGTGCCTATCCGAGCGTTCCTTTCTCCTAGTTTTAATCAAGACTCCAAAGCTGGACGGTATCCTGTTGGGGAGAGGCTCCTTGACTTAGTCTGAAGCTAGAGTTCTATTGACTTAGTTGTGTCCAGCACCCTTCATTAGTCCAGCCGTTTGCATGCGTTACTACGACCCGTCCTGCAGGTACGGCAAGCAACATCGTCACCTTCCTTGCACAGTGAGCTGGGCCCCAACTTCTGCTCTTGTTTTGTTCGGTTCCAGCTAAACTTAAGCTTGCTTCCTGACTTGAAGTAATGGGCTTCAAGCAGCGTCCCTCTCAAGGCCTTGCCCAGACTTGGCGAGTCCTTAAGCGTCAGTATCTCAAGCAAAGAAGCGAACCAGTTGCGTTTGTGACTGATCCCGCGCTGTTCTACAGAGGTAACGTGGCGCTTTCTGTGCTAATGACGGCAGCAAGTACCTTCCTTGCCGTGGTGAGTCATACTACCACCGAGTCCGGCTGTTCCAGAAAAGTTGCTGTCGCCTAGATTGTCACCAGCTTTACCTTTCGAGTCTGGTTGTCCACTTCTTGATTTGGACTTACGCTGATACTTTGGGCAGGTTTCGACATCAGTCGAAACGCACTGGTTGAAACCTGCTCTGAGAAAATTGCACCTAATTTCGTCGACATTCGAAAGCGAATGTTGTGATAGGTGGAATGGAAACAACGGGTCACTATCTGTGTATTGGCCCTTCCTTTCTGACCGTCTTGTCCGTTCAGGTGATGACGCCCCTCTTGACGGCCTGGCTGGCGGGGACCCTAGTTGCGGTGGACGCCTGGGGCCTATTCTCATCAACGCTCCAGGTGCAATTGCCTAGAACGCTCTCCTGATCCGTTGGCACAGCCGTGTCCCGCTGAAATCCCGGAGCCGGTCGTTGTGACCGATGCGAGAAGGCTTACGTTGTGAGGTCGTGAGAGATCTCGTGTGAGAGTTGCTCGAAGCCTGACGCTTTCTCATTTGTAAAGCTCGATAACCGTCCTTCGTAGCTCACACGTTGTCGAGAGAGGTCAGCGTTCCTTTTCATGGATCGCTCGCCCTCGTGACTTACCCTTTGAGAGGTGGCAGGAGAGGTGGTCCCGCAATCCTAGTAGCAAGTCCTCGCATGCTTCTCTCTTGCCCAGGAAAATTGTACGGGTTAAGCGTCTACGTTCCTTTCATGCCAGAGTACCAAAATAGTCACGCGAGTACTCTTACAAGTCGCGTAATATCCTCAAGTGAGTTTCCCTATCTGCATCCTTTCTTCTGGGGGCCACAATCAGCCTTCAAACCAAAGGCTCAAACCCGAGCGAAACCGAAGCCCTTAACCCGTTTCCTTAACCCGCTCAGGTCGTTCTGCTCCCGGTCCTCTTGGGCGCCGCCCTGAACCGCGCCTTTCCCCTGGCGACTGCCGCGATCGGCCACGTGGCGCCCCTCTTCGCCGTCTTCACGGTCGCCGCGATTTGCGGGAGCGCCATCGGAGCCAACGCGGCCGCGATCTGGGCCTCGGGGGCCAGCCTGGCGCTTGCGGTGTTTCTGCTGCACAGCGGGGGATTCTGTTTGGGGTACACGCTTGCGAAGCTTCTCGGACTGGACGAGTCCTCGGCACGGACCATCTCCATCGAGGTCGGGATGCAGGTGAGGGGGTGAATACCACCCGGAGCAGGGCTGTTACGGGCCTGAGTGTAGGGTGTTAGAGGTCCCGGTTTGCGGGGTTTGGCAACCCGGTTGATGGTTTTGAGACGCAGGTGCCGACAAGACAGTTTTGCTTCCGCCTTGGGTGCGGGGTTTCGAATCCGGTGTGCAAAACGTTTGGCAAAGCCTTGTCTGTGCGCAGAATCTGTGTTCCGCTTTAGCGACCAGCATATTCAAGCGTTTACTACCCGAACTCGGCCTTTATCATCGTCGTGACAGACTTGCTTCCTGTTAGCGGCCCATACCGGGGCTCATATGTAGCTTGTTCGAGTGGAACAATACCAATGGATCATTCGGGTGCTTTAGCGGCCATGATTGAGCCTCCCGTTCTGGCGCACTCGGTCGAACTTGGTGGAAAGGGTTCTGGTGATACTTGGGCAGAAAGTACTCACGCTTGTTTGCGGGTTCTTCGTCGTCGTTTTACCTGATTGTATCCACTATCTCTCTTGTGCAGAACTCGGTGTTAGGAGTGGTGCTGGCGACGCAAAACTTCCCCAACCCGTTGACGGCCGCCCCCTGCGCCGTGTCCAGCGTATGCCATTCCGTGATTGCGAGCGTCTTGGCAGGCGTCTGGCGGATGGCGGATCGGCGGAAACATGGGGATACCGCAGCGGCAGCTGGAACGTGACAAAGTAGGGGCCCGTACAACACACCTATATAATACGTTTGATGCGATTTCGCAGCAACGCGCTATCAATTGACGGTCAACGGTTGGGAAGTCTTTACGGCCCTCCTTCGAAGCTAAGTTTTTGGGTATTGCACTGGCACGAGGCTATCGTGGCAACATATATTGCTGTTGTATTTATGCTGCTGTTATGCCGACTGAACCTCGGAACACAAAAGAGCAAACCGC